ATTTGGAGCCAAGTTGGACAAAATATGTCCATAACTGATAACTCTACCACTACCCGTCCAGTAGTATCAATAGAAAGTGTTGCATGTTGGCTGTTTCTTTCTTTTTATTTTTTTCTGTTTTTATTTTTTTTTCTTTTAACCAAATGAAATGAATTTGTTGTTTCCTGTTGTCATATTCTGGTGGTTTTCTTCCTTTCGATGAAATTGATAATTGAGTCTATGATTCGGGCACAAAAGAACAAAAACAAGAAAAAGTAAAAATGAAAAAAGAAACAAAGCAAAACAAAGCTCGCTGCCTTAACCACAGAAGTTGGATATAAAACATAATCTTATTAGTCATATTGAAATATAATAAAAGAAATTAAATATTTTATAAATAACAATCATTAAAATCCTTACCATAATTATTGTATAGTTTTATAACATAAAATATGACGTATTATAATAATTATTACATAATTATACTACTTATAATAATTATAACATAATTAAATTACTCTTTGGATTTCAATTGCAATAGTGGATTTTCTCTAATTTATTATACAAGACTGATTTATAATGCCCAAACATTGTCCATTATAAAGCTAAGAAACTTGGGCTGGTACTGACCACCAGGCCCAATAGTCATCTCAGCCCAGCCCAATCACCTACTACTCATGTAACATCAAAGAATATTAGAAATAAATCAAAAATAGGATAATTACTGATAAATACAGGTAAGTATTTACCATATTTACCTTTATTGAGGTAAATTACTTGCAAAATGACCTCTAAAGAACAAAACTACTTGATTATTGCAGTAAATCCAACAACGGCAACAAATCTATAAGTTGTATCCACGAACAATTAAAACTTGAAACTGAAGACAAAATAATTGTTTTGCCCTTAACGACTTTGTGGGTAATTAAAAGAGTTGTAATATGACTTTTTAAGTTCCTTATTGGATGAAGTAGGTTCTGGATTCTTTTTACAGGTCGCCCTCATTTTTTACAAATTTATAATTTTGACCCGTTTGGTGAAATCAATGTCTTTGAGAAATTGTACACAAAAAACACAATACAAGTATTGCGGCTAAACTTTTATGCACAATTATGGATACAAGAAGAGTTATGTTTTACAGCTTCTCCCTTATGTTCTAAGATCTCTTCTATTGCTGTTTTTACGTTCTTCCAATAATTTCGTAGTTTTCGCAGCTTCTGCACCCAAAAAAAAAAAAAAAAAAACTCATTTCTTTACAATAATAATAATAATTGTAATGATAATCACAATAATACAATAAAGCAACAAAATATTACATCATATGCCCATAATAAAAAGAAGGAAAATGAGATATATTACCGAATGAAACTTTGCATTAGGGACGGGAAAAAATGATTATAGTAGTAATAAAAAGAAAGTAGCCCACGTAATGAAACATAAATTAAACCCATAAAGTGGCATTGTTACGGTTTTAATTATGTTTCGTTTTCTTATGCAAATGAGAAAAATTAGAAAGTACTCATATAATGGTAATAATGTAATGGTAACAGAGTGACAAAAAAAAGAATAATAACAATAATAGGGTAGATAGATCAGCAAAATAAATTTCACCAAGAAAGTCACCGTAATTTCAAAAATTAACCATTATAACACGTTTAATCAAACAAAACAAGGACCAAAGAGAAGTAATTAGACACCTTAAAAATAGAGCAACAATATATATCACATTCTGATGCAAATAAGAAAAAATAAGAACAACCCATGAAACTACAAAGAATGATTATAATAGAAAACTAGCCCTGATGAGGAAATATAAGTTAAACCAAGAAAGTATCATGAATTAATTTCAGAGAGTACATTAATTAACCATGATTTTAATGACGTTTAATCGCAAGAACGAAAAAGGAAAGAGAAGAAAACACGTTCATTTACCTTTGAATTGTCAGAGTTGGCCGAGGTCCTCAAGAAAGATTTCTCCGTAGAAAGAATGGGAGTGGACATGAGGCGGCGGACGAGGAGGCCGATCGATGGTCGAGCAGGGCATGGCCGAGTCGCGCTTCGGCGCGCTCTTGGGTGAGGCGTTCGACGAAACGCCCGAAACCGAGCCTGAGGTCCGAGCAGATTCCAAAGGCGAGTGAGACGGAGACGAAATGGGAGCCAAGTTTTGGAGCCGGCGCGG